CATAGCAATACCAAGTCAATTAATTTGGCTCCCAGTACTTATCAGTGGTCTGAGATCCAGATCCTTTAAAAGTCTTCATAAAGCTCTGTGATGAGATTTGGCTGATAGCTTTGCTCTTCTGGTAGAACTGAGCTTTCTATAATAAGGTGCAGTTACTTGCACAAGAGACGGAGCTTTCTTGCAGGAAGACCTTTAGTTTGTGGGATTAATTGCCATGCAAACTAAATATCACCAAAACCTTGACCTGATTTTTGATGCATGCACAAGGCATGCTTTTGAGGCTCCGCTGTCCCTAGTATAAACACAGTCAATGTGAGGGAGCACTGACAAAAGCTGTGGCAGGGGAGGGGAAGCAGAGCTGGTCTATACTGGGACCAGTTGATGTTGGTCAATGGAAGTAGCTAGTCAGCAGGCAGTCAAGACAAATGGGTTGTGGACATCAGAATTTCTTAAGTCAGTTCCTTCAAACTATGCCAACAGCGCAGGCGGAGATACCAAGGAAGCAGGAAACAAATCTGCCTTTCCTCCAAATAAGGCCAAAGAAAAGGGAACTCTCCAAAATGTGAGGCATAAACATGAGTTTTATAAAAGCTTATGTTCCCCCAACTGCAGGTCTAGCATCCAGCCTAACTGCTTGCCCTCTTACACATGCCTTGCTTATGCCTTCTTGATGGGAATTTTTATTCCATATTAAAACACTGCCCACTCGCAAGAATGAGGCTGAACCTTCCTGTATACTACACGCATTCCTGGGTATCACATTTCCAAAAAGTTCCAGTAGAGTTCAAAAACCTACAGGAAAAGGTCACAAGGATGATGAGAGGAATGCAATGGCTTTCGTGCTAGGTAAGACTGGGTAGGGTAGGACCTTGCATCTTGGAAGGAAAACAATAGGTATTGAAGTGACAGAGGTCTATAAAATTGAGGTCTATAAAAGTGTGGGGGCAAATAGGGAGCAACCATACTTTCTTTCTCATAAAAAAGAACTGATCAGCATCATATGAAATTATAATATTTTATATTCTAACATATATACTAGATAACATGTATTTAAACTGTATAACACTGTCTCACTGTGTAACAGAGGTCAAAACTATACGTAAACAATACAGAACCAGGTCCGTTGGTGGCTGTTTAAAATGAAGACTTGGGTGCAACCTTTTGCTCTGGAGGTTTTGTAAAGCTGTGATTTCATAAGCTGGGAAGATATGTCAGGGTAAAGACTATTGAGTAAATGTCCTGTTTCTTAAATCCAAGGATCATCCTGTTGTCCCATTATTGTGGACCGGGGACCACCTCCACTACCGGGGCTAAAAGAGGGTTGGGCTGAATGCTGGGATGGGGGTCTTGGCTGGGACCACCACGTTTGATCTCAGACTGGGTGGGAGTAGCTGGGTCCTGAGGAGGGCAGCAGGTGGCATGACAGTGACTAAGGGGTGTTGGAAAGGCCAAATGGACTTCACTGATCTCCATGAAGAGGAGAGGAGGAGAACTGTGTCGGCCAAGGCCGATGATGGTGGGGGGAGGCAGAGGCGTGGGCACCTGAGCCAGACTGAGCCACAGGATGGGCTCGGAGCTCAGCCGTGTAGCTGCGGCTGCATCTATGCAAGCTGCAAACTGCAAACAACCTTGCCTGAAACAAGCCCTGACAACCAGGGTATTCCCCGGAATCTGACATCCTTGGCGTCAGCACGTGCAGCTCATTCACTTCACATGAACCTGAAGGAGGGTTATGTGCGAGAGTGGCGTGAATGCATCTCAACACAATGCTGTGGTGACTTGAGTTAAAATGATCTTTCACTTTATAGAGACCGGATTGGGAAACAAGAATCTATAGATAATATCGTCTCTACACCGATGCTCCTGACATCCAGTTAAAATGTTGGTGCCTGCACTTGAAGAGGATGCTAAAACACTGAAGCAGCAGCAGCAAAAAAGGCACAAAAAATGAGCGAGGGGCTGGGGAAGGTAGTTTACAGCGAGAGGCTGAAGAAGCTCGACCTGTTTGGTTTACCAAGAAGAGGACTGAGATAACTTTGTGATAGTGCACATCTTTAGGAGCAGTCAATATACCAGACACCATGGGACTGTCTTTAAGGAGAAGGCAGAACAGAAATCTGTGAGTGTGAACTGAAGCCTGACAACTCTGGTTAGAAATGAAGAGCACATTTGTAATCGTGAGGGTGAGAGCAGCCGCTGGAACAACAGGCTAAGCCTTGGGCTCATCAGGTCTCCAGGCAGTGTTTCTGTCCAAAAGGCAGGCCAAATACAAAATATGCTGCCTCCGCCCCTGCCAAATCCATCCTTGAATGTCATGTCAGTTTTATCCCCACACTCTCGGCAGTTTGGGGTGCAGCTGAAACTGGCAGGTCCCCCGCCATTCCTGTCTCCTCTGGCACCTGTATACTCCTTGCGGTCCACCTCACCGCAACCCTTCCCACGTCCAGGGGCCAACCCGCCCTTGCATGCTGTCAGTAACACGACTGCTGCTGTCGCCAAATAAGCATCTCCTGCGCGGACCACCGCTCCGGGGCAGCTGCCATCCCCGCTCTTCTCGACGACCCTCCGCACCCACTTGCTTTTCTTGCAACCGCTTAGGGGACGCCGAGGCCTCCTCCGAGAGGAGAAGCCCCCTCGGGGCGCACCTCCTCGGAGGGGAGATTCCCGCCACCTCCCTGCGGAGCAC